GATATATTGTATTGTTGTTTTATTTGAAATTGTTATCATATTCGTATTATTGACGTCGTTGCTAGTCATGTTATAATATTCTTGAGAGGGGAGGCATGTCGCATACGACTTATTTACCACTTCCGTGTCACTGAGAATGTTCTAGAATCGTACTGTGTCTGGGTGGAATATTCTCGATTTTTTTTAGAAACTCGTTGAATAGGTAATAGAACACTGTAGGAGGCAATAGAAGGTAATGGAATATTCTAGAAATTTGTAGTAAGTGTCAGACTCATTATGTATGCTGATGTAATGGTCTATTTATAGACAGTGGAGGTATATATAGGGGAGTTGTTCAGCACTGAGTTCAGATCAGAGATCTCGTTGAATTGTATTGTATTGGAGTTTAAGTATCTAGTCATTGGAGTAGTGGAGTTTTACCGCGTTATTGTACTTGATGTTTGCAGAGTATAATAATACCAGTACCAGTTGAAACCTCATCTGTTGGCTCCGTATTCGTATTTTATCATCGCCACCAGGGAAGTCTTTCTGTTACTGTTCCCATTTCGGTATTTGAACCATCACACCTGTACTATACCAATTACGGTAATATTACGTTGCGTGTGACAGTTGTCATACAGCTAACCATAATTTTTTGGCAGAGAAGTCGTTGAATGAGGATTTACAACAATATCTTGAAATATTGCAAGGACAGCGTAGATGCAATGGAAAGACAAACAAAAGATAAAACTGAAGTTTCTTTATGGTTTATGGAAAATTTTGGCCTTTCGGTCAAAAACCTAACTACAACGGATGGCAGTTCTGATGTAGTCTGACTTTCAGAATAACAAAATTATTCATCAGAGAAACCAGCAACCTTCAAATTCAAATGAGAAGACACCAATCGCTACTGCCATTGGATTTTCAGAAGATGAAGTGGCAGTTTATGAACTGCAACAACTACTTGATCGATTCTGCATTTCTGATGAGGCATACCATGAACTTAGCATGTCTTCATGTGGCTCAAATCTACCAAGAAGCTACTTGCTAAAGCAGTGTAAGCAAAACCTGAACAAGATCAGTGCCATCGAACCTGTGCCTGAGGGTTATAGAGTACAGAGAAATTATCAAACATTCTGTTGAGCCTGTTTATGCAAAGTACGAGTAACAGGAACATAATTATTCTATCTTTCTGTAGGTCAAAATAAGTGGTGACGGTGCACAGATGTCAAGAAGCTCAAATTATATTTTTTTATCATTCAGCATTATCAATAGGGGCTGAGTTTTGAAAAGTTCTCAAGGTAAAATGTCCATTATTTATTTGCAATTTTCACTGGTAAACCCTAAATAAACGAATTGAAAATTGAATTGAAATGCATTAAAGTCAGTTTGAAATACCTAGCCAAAGGCTAATTTCACCGACTACTAAAAATTACATCAAACAAAAGTAAAAATTACAAACATCAAACACAAAGAAAAACAGTAAGATTTCACAAATAATCAATTAAATATCTTAAAATGATGGTGACCACAATGAAACCATTTGCTTAAAAGATACAAATCTTCACACTCCTTCATTCGATTAGCGAGTTCCACATTTTAGCACCCTTATAGACATGACTTCAGTC